AACAAGATTCACATTCCCACTAGAAAAGCTACTGAAGTTGAAAACTGAAGCATAATTTCGACTACTTATCGTGTATATAGACACAAAATAAAATAATAAATAAATAAATAAAAAACACACATCATCATTGTAAAATTAATCAGGAAATAATAAAAAACAATGTCATATTTTTCAAAGTTATAATTTTCTRATGCAGCTATATATTTTATCTTAAGTGGATTTTTTTATTAAGATATACCAGTGTAAGTCATGAAAAAATACTTAACATATTTTTATAAGTTTGTACAGTTCACAGCACGGTTATATTAAATCGTGTTGAAAACTTTTACTTTTATGCCATATTACKGTTTTTTACCGAAATTTATTCTCCAAACTTTGGGTTTTGGGCGACGATTTGAAAARCGGTGACAGATAACTTAAATAGTWGTCGACTTTATTRTCGGGTCAAAGGACACTACGCGAAAGAAACGCTTGAGACGGACATGCGCTTTTGATGGATRCAATAAAAATTTAAAAAACAAAATATGCAATGAAAATCGGTATTGAAAATCGAAAGCGGTCATAAGGATTCATCCTCGYCCGCAGTGACTACTTATACTAGTTGGAGCGTACAAAGTTTACCGAACAGTTCGTGACGTAAAAATGTAAAAAAATAGCTAGAGAGTTATCCACATAGGGGGCAGGGGTGAGGAGATGGTTATATTGGTGTGGTAGGAGTATATTTGGCTCATCTTTAATGGGGTACGATATACGCAGAGGTATCGTGGCGTAGGGGGAGGAGATAGTTAAGGAGAGGGTGCGTTCGAGTGGATGGGTGTAGAGGGTTCACTGCGATACGATCTTATAATATCGGGGTAGCGATGGGCGCGGTGTTGACCGTGTACTATACACGTCGCGTGCATATTATACATAATATATACATATATATAATCCGTTTKCACGTGTACCTRTACAATATTATACAAATGCGGTCCGTCGAATTTAATCAATTATTTTTGTTGCTTCCGTCGATACGTCAGCCGGATAAACTGCGGSGTACATTACATAGTCTGAACAATTCATTAATTAGAGACGGACTAGCAATTATTTCGCATATCGCGTAATCAATATCGTATACGTTGCAGTAATGGAATGCATCATCCATTGTTGTATCCATCATACATACGTACTATATTAAACGGTGTATTATCAAGCTCACGGCCACGAGATTCGTTGGAGCCACAGTGTGTGTATGGGGGGGGTCGAATTATATTCCATCGAAACCCAACCGCTGCGCTTTCCTATATATAACACTTTTTCAATTTATAAAAATACTTCGTTTGAGCGAATGCAATTGATACAATTACGTCACGTTGTATTAGACAGTGCTGGATTTGTATTGATGTGGGAAACTAGTCTTATTGACTGCCTTGTACTACTGTATGTACTGTTATGAAAAACATTTGAAAAGTTCCCATCGATATCATATGTGAGCTTCAGAAGGTTGTATGAGTTCAAAGGTCACATATTATGACGATGACTTCAAACAAAAATCGTAGTAGAAAATATGTACACAAATT